CCCCCCCCCCCCCCCGCCTCTGACCCGGCCTCTGCCGCCGCTGCTGTTTCCTCTTCTGCTGCACTGCTCTCCCCTCTGATCGTCCTGCTCAGCCACTAGTACAGACTACAACAAAAATATCAGACAGCTCACACACGCTCGTGCACGCACACGCTTGCAGTCAGCGCCCGCTTCTGCTGCCTCCCCAACAGGTTGCCATGACGTCCGAGGGATGCTGCAAGCCTGGCACATTTTTCTCCGCGACCGGATGGGTTCAATAAGTTCACACTCGCGAGTGTACAAACAGGAATCTGGGCACCCACACGCGCGCTTGCACATGCGCACACACGTCAGGGTTGCAATGGGTCAACTATTCCACAAGTTCTTTGTCAAGTTTGAGAGATGTCATTCTTTTGTTTTTTTTTGGATTAGTGGTTTACCTCCTCATATGTACCAGTCTGTGCAACAGTCTTGGTGGAGGTATGCAAGCTCCTCCTGATCCTGTTAATTCACACCCCACTGCATCTGAAAAATGTTTTGCAGTCCTGCAGTAGGCTACACTGCATATTGTACTCAGCCCTCCTGCAAGGCCACAGCACTGTGTGGCTGATGCCATCATTTTTCACTGAATAATTTCAGAGTTTTGATTGAAAAACTATTTTTTCACAAGTGCTGTTTGAATATGAGAAAGGTTTAAGCTATGATTTACTACTGGCTCCACCATAATATCTTAAGCTCAGTGGCATGTCAAAACTGAACTATACAGGTCGTTTAGCCAAGGCACCAAGACAGACCAACTGACCTCAAATATGGCAACCATCCCATCTCATCCATCCATCCATTATCTATACCATTTATCCTAACGAGGGTCACAGGGGTGCTGGAGCCAATCCCAGCTGACAATGGATGAGAAGCGGGGTACTTAGGTATGTGAGGATGTGATGTCTGTAAAAAATCATTAGCAAAGTGTGGAAATGATGACCAAACAACCATGGGCGTTCTTTTTTCACTCAGTTAACAGGCTGTTTAGTGCAGCTGCAAGACCAGAAAAACACACACACACACACACACAGATACAATGACCAGATGGTGTTAGGTCCCAAAATAACAATTTTGTGCCAAGAATAACAGAAAATACTGCTGGGTTATTTGGATAAATGAAATCCTTAACAAACTTAAACTGATATATAAAGGCCTATCCGCAAACAGATGGAGTAGAAGGTGCACCAGCTACAAATGAATTAATCCTGAAATTAAACTTTTCACATCAGGGATCTGTTGCAGACTCCTTAAAGAGGCCTCTTCATCTTGCTTCAGGAAGTGCAGTGGTGTCAGACCGCAAAATATTAGCATGCTGACTTAATCATTTAAAGACTTATTTTAAAAAGTCCCTGATTACAGTTTTGTACACCCACACAGCCACAGGCTCCTGATGATTAATAATGTTAAGGCTTTGTCTTCGTGTTGAGAATAAATCGGCTCATTTATTTTACTATGGTCCTGTCGTCACTCCACTGGAGTTAAAACAGAGATGAAGTTTGTTAGGGGCATTGAGAGCAGTTTATTAGGTGGCTTGTGAAAACACTGATTGTAACACATGTGCTTTTGTGAGACTAGCAGATAGCCAATAATAACCACAAATCTAAATAGTCACTTATATTTATTACACTATGTCATTACACAGCACATCTGCTCTAACACCAGTGTCACAGTTAAGACATGACACCTGGCGAGAAGTTTCCAGCGCACTTCAAGAGGTAGACTAACTGATGCAAATATTCAGAAAGTAGTCTGAGTACAAATACATTAGTCTGGCCAATATTATACAGCATGTAACATGTTGATATCCTGTGTACATAACTTCAATCTATAAGCAAACATTGTACTTGGAAACCAGAGTTAGCAGAAGTGGGTATATCTTTAAAAAGGGTGTCCTTACAGAGCTTAAAGGGATAACATTGCTCCTTAAAACATCACTAAATTAAACTAATAGATTGGAGCAAACATATGGCTTCAGTATTTTGCATATTTATTTGTAAAGAGGTCATCCCTGCCAGTGAATATAGCACTTCTGTTTACTAGCCATGAAATGATTAACACCGTTAACAAAGCTGCTTGCAGCTAAAGACAGAGGGAAGGTGTTCAGGCTTGCTGGCCCTGGGGTTCCAGGAGGATTCTAGTTGCAGTGATTTGGGAATGAGGAGGATGTGGACTGGGGGAGGGGAGTTACTGCTGTCCTAAGCTGATCTGTGCAGGGGGCTGCAGAACAGACAGAAGGACAAAGGTTCCACTGTACAGACTCCAGCTCAGGACAAAAGGAAAATCACTTTGAATCAAACAAGCAGAGCAGTAATAACACAATGTTGGAACTCTAGATAAATAAATAAAGTCACTGTTAACAATCTTAAAACTGTTCAGCATTTTTACAAGTAGATGACTCAATAAACAGCAGGAAAAAGCAGTTAAACAAACTAATTTGTGCAAATTAGAGTCCTGCAACATGGAGTTAAGTGGATTTTCTTGTTAGATTCATAATGGGTCACTTGAAACGGCTTCCCATTAGGCCGACCACATCCTGCCTGTGCCACATCCTGCTTATTTGATCAGTTCTGACACAGTGCAATAACATGTTGCAGCATGCATTAACCCTTCTGTCCTGTTGGAGAGTGCAGAGGAGGCCGAGCTCATCCAGTCCGGGAGACATGCACTGGTGATGGGCTTTTCACCTGGTGACAAAACAGAGAGAAATGAGAAGGCCAGTGTGACACCATACGTGTGTAGTACCACCATTATGAAGGCTGACTGCAATAAACTGTTTGGGTGCCTGCAGACATCTCCATTAATATCTTGTTTTTTATATGGAAGAAACTGTTGGAAAATTAAAATTTGTTTGACAATTAATACTGAAAGTTAAAGGAATAGTTTGACACTTTTAGAGTTGTCCTTTCAGTATTTTCTTTATTGCCAACAACTACAACTGTAGCAATCTCACACCTGTCCATTCAACATGAAACTACTTCTATAAGCTAGTTAGCTTAGCATAAGGTAAAACTGATGGGAGAAAAATATCAAGCTGTGATGTTATTGGGGTTATTTGCCAGCCAATTATTTGGCCCAATGCAGCAAAGTCTCACTGACAGTAAGACCACGACACGTCAACTGAACCCTGACAAAAATAGTTGGGCACACAACCGCCAAGAAAACCACCACTTGTCAGTTTTACACTTTTTTGTCTTGTTTTTGTGCAGATTAAACAAACAACAAAGTTTTTAACTGTTCAGCTTTGTTGTTGGTAGCTGGATCTCCTTCAGTATTTAAGTGTTTATCAAGGCTCAGCTGACCACACGTGGGCTACAGCTTTCATATTTATTTATTTGTTTGTTTGTTCTCAAAATTCTTGAATTTCTCAAACTAAACATTTTATTGTGGCACTGTTTGCAAAAACATACAGACTGAGTCCCTTCCCTGGTTTTATCAGGGCAGATGATCAGGGCCTCTCCAGAGAAGTGCTTTACCTCTGAAACATTTATACGGCTTTAAACTGCACTGCTCGCTGCTCACGGATGTGGACATAAGCTGGTATCTAGTGGCAGCTGATTAGCATTAATATTACAGTGTAACTCAATGCTTCAGGAGAGTGTGGGCTTCTAAACACATCTGATAAGACTCACTATATACTGCAGTAGTGCACTTGGAAACTGTTACTGAGCCGTTTTAAAAAATGAATGTTGCGGTTTTATACCTCACATTAATTGTTGTTAGTATATTTTTATTCTGACAGTGTGGGAAAAAACATTCACCTATTTGCCTGAAAGCTCCTTCTTCATGCAGGACTTGAAAGAGGTGAACTTCTCATCCGCACGGACGCCCTGTGAATGTGTGTGTAACAGAGACACAAAGGAAGATATCATGAGAAGTCCAGTTTCCTGATGTCCCCCTAGATGGCAGTATAGTTTCACAAACATAACAAACTCAGGCGTTTCAGTAATAAAAAAGAGGCAGCAGTGTAATTCAGATATGATGCAATGAAAATGTATCAGTACCTAAAAAAAAAAAACATAGCGCTTGTATAAAGTTGTAATTAGACAGGAAAGGTGGTGCTTGTGTTGCTAATAGTTGCTAAATAGGCCTAATTACATAAAGACCTCAGCATCAGCCCATATTTTTCTTTTTATCCTTCATCATGTTAAATCTGACTTGAATTCACTTCCATATGCCCAGTTTTGAGCCACTTCACTGGCAGGTTACATCTTAAGAAGTACGAACACAGACTGATAATGCTGCTATCTTTCACATCAGCCAGTGCTACTAACACCATCACCTCTGTTCTCCACTTAGTCAGTCCCCCAGAGAGCTGCTGTCTGAGGCTGATGGAGTGGGAGCATCTCTCCTGTCACCTTCAGCCTCATAAAATAAACAATAAACGGCATTTCAATGACCTCAGCTTTCTCACCCCATCGCCACGGTGCAGCCGCTCCTTCATTACGCCGATAAACTCTTTGTGGCTGAGTTTATTGTCGTGATCCTCATCAAAGATCTTGAAGACGATGCTTACCAAGTGTCGGGTCAGCTTAATGCCTGTAGCCACATACACCGCACGGGTAAACTCCTCTGAGGGGGAAGATACATGTGATCAGCTGAGAAGTAAACAATAGCTACACTTCATCGTGTATTTGTCACTGATGCTAACTGTGATACAACATTTAACATTACAACCAAGCCAAATTGCAGATGCCTTCTTTTTGGTCTCTACATGCAGTTGATTGGTGAGCCTTTCTCAATTCATGGGTGTCATGTTCTTTAAAGTGGGAAGCTACACCTTCTTCAGGAATTAAAACAACTTATCTCTCACAAATTATACTCTTATTTTGAGAGCTCTCCATCATGAACTGTCTCCCAAACCTTTAGAAATAAGACCCAAAAGCAAGGACAAAGATGCAGAGGGGAATCAGAAGATCAGAAAAATAGCCGATTAATGCCCTTTGAATATGAAAGTCTATACTTAAAACAGTTTTATTTTTAACTTTAGTGACATACACAAAGCATGTCAATTACAGCATAGCAGTGAGGTGGTCCAGACAGTCATCTCTGCATATTACTGAGCTGCTACATCAGATAAACAAGTGTCGTACAACCAGTGTTAGGACTAGAACGTGAGATGCTTTACCTTGTCCAATGGAGCGATTGGCAAAGTTGTACATTTGCATGGCAATGGTGAAATCCTCCAGGTTGTTCAGGAACTGGAAGAAGGACCTGAACTCTTCAAATGTGATTCCCTGGAAAGAGATCATATTGATAGAACAATGCCATTATTTATGAAACATTAACCTCATGACAATGTAACGAGAGAGATTATAAAGTGCCCCGTAAAGTAAATGGTTGCATGTGTTAACACTCCAGCTCAGGACAGTGCCACAATTCACACAACACAATCTACCTCCCTTCATCCTGTAGTGTGTGTGTGTGTGTGTGTGTGTGTGTGTGTGTGTGTGTGTGTGTGTGTGACCTTGAAGCCATCAGATAGATAACACACCCAAACAGACAAAGTATACACTGCTGCATTTCCCTTGTGCAGTATGGACACACTGAGCTGTCACCAGTGGGGAGTGGGGGTGGGGGGGATTTTGAGAAGAGGTCAGGCCTTGTGTGGATTTTTCTAAGTCAGATTAACCTGATACTTGAATAAACAAAAACAAAAGTGATGAATCCCCAAACATCTCAGGCTTGGCTGAGGACTCAAACACTGAGCCCATTGATGTCCACTCAACCATCTCACAGCTACTAGCTGCTCCTCTCGCCAGGGGCCTCACCAAACAGGCAATGCACACAGCCTAACAAATGGAGTAATGACTAATCTGTGACGCTTTGCTGTTTTAACGAGGTGAGGGCCATAAAATATCTCTCAGCCTAATGATGAGACCCACTTGATTATCAATGGGGATCTGGCAACAGGCTACTCGAGGTGGCTGAGGAGCTGCTGGCGTCTCTTCATGCAGGGTCAGCGTGCTGAGAGAAAAAACAAATCAAAGCTCAAATGAAGATGCTTCACTCAACAGCTAATTCACAGAGCGATATCAAAACACAGAGGGGTGTAAAATTCTCCAATACTCCCACTAAACAAAATAAATCTGTTTAAAAAATTTAAACTTAATTAAGCCAATATGCTTCTTCAGACGTCAGACTGGTGAAGAGCTTTGCAAATCCCTCCAACTCATTGCTGTGCCGTTTTAGTTGTGTCAGCGCGAGATGACAATGTTGCACAAGTTAAACAGCTGAGGAACAGCATTTTAATTTAGAAGCGACTGTATGTGGATCTTTAACTCTGGGCAGAGCCAGGAAAGCTCCATGTCCCTATTGGAGGTAAGGGTACGGTTAGTACTAGGTTGCACTTTAAAATGAGAAATGATAACTGTCAGAGGTGGTGTAACGTGATGACAACGCAAATGCAAAGGGGAGAAGTGTACCTTTTCATCTGGCACGCTGTGGCGCACATTCTCCAAATATGTGCTGACATCGTCCAAGTTGGTGTAGCGGAGGAGGATCCGGGCAAAGTCTTCCTCGCTAATGTTGGGCATGCCTTTCGAGTAGGAAAGGAATTCTATCTCAAGCACCTCTGTCTGCAGGTTGTCCATGAACCTGGAGAAGGGAGACGGACAGCAGCTGCTGACAGGAAACGCCACCACCACCATCATTTCATAACCGCTAAGGTTTCCCTGCTGGAGTTTCAGTGCGATATGAAAACGATTAATGGTAATATTAGTGTGAGATGATAATTTTCTCAGGGCCCTCGTGATTGATCACAGAGCAGACAAAAGGATTCTCAACTCACTTGTAAAACTCTTCAAATTTCAGTTCAGCTTTGCCTTTTTTCCCAAAGAAGTGGACCAGGAGTGTTGTCTCTGCTTTGTCATCCACACGCTATCAGAGGGAACAAAAGACGACTGCATTACCGCTCCTTAAAGCTTTAAATATCCACCTGAGATGTGACATGTTCTGTAAAGGCAACATAAATACAGCAAATCACAATGCACAAATGATTACAGCAATGACTGAGTCAAACTTTGTCTAAACTCACAATCTCAGCTCCAGCAGCCAGAATAAGCTGATCTGTCACATCCTGTGCAGTGTAAGTGTATCATGGCAACACCAGGTGAACATTAACAATGAGAGTTATTTAACCATGCTGAAAGTTGAAGTAAAGTGTTTAGTTAGCAGCCATACCCAGATTCAGCTATTGAATAATTACTCAGAGTTAATGGTTAATTTTCACTGTGCCTGAAACCAAACAGTGGGCCAACGCTTCTCATTTCTGCACCATACAAACATGTGCCATGCAACACATTCATTAAACATGCTGCACCCCTTGTTGCAGATGCTGCTTTTGATGGAGGCCATATTACAAGAGCTCTCTCTGAATATTTAATCTTACTAACAAAAGATAGATGCATAAATTAGGTACTTGTTCCACTGTGCTCACTAACCTTCAGGAATCTTTATAGAAATAAAACTATAAGACAGTAGTGAGGCTATATGGCAGGACCTGCTGTAAAGTATAGCTAAATGACAGATTAATACAGAAGCATCTTAATAAGGGCTTCACTACCTCTGGGAGATCAGAAAACAGAACTTGACTTGTGCCACGTCTGAGAACATCCCACATGCCCCGGGTCTCCACATGCTGACTGTCTTTTTTGTGAACCTGTGGTAGCAGTTGAAGCGCAGCTGTTAGAAGACTAAATACATCTGGCACATGTTAACTGCATCGGGGGGTTGTTACCAACTCCAGCAGACAGTTCGGTGAGCATACTGTCCACAGAGTCGGGGGGTTGGGGGACAGACAAACCCACTGACATCCATCCACACTCGAACAGGCAGAGACAGAGCGGAGCTGACACCGGTGTATCTGAGAGGCCCATCAGCCCTGACATGAGCCTACTCTGCAGCGAAGCATGCAGCCTCTTGGCAGGACATTGAGTCTACACAGCTAACACATGTCCAAAGCATGCAGGGTGTGAGAGCTGGAGGATGATTCACGCCAAGTTAACTATGTAACTGAACCCACCCAATATATGATCATTTGATGCTAAGCTGCAGGGTAAATACAGGCTGTCAGGCACCTGCAACCTACAGTACTGTTGTGATGGCTCACATTTTAAAGAGTTACATTTTCTGCAATGTTTTTGGTCTTTAGTGTGTGTCACATTTGCTGTGTAATGCTGTCTGAAACAAAGAAGCCATGCTCCTGATCTCAGATTAACCAGGCCTCATTATTATTACAGTTCCCACTGCTCCCTTCACTCTCCATCCTGCTGTGGAGCTACAATAACTACAAGTACAATGAAAAACAACTGTCAGCAACAATTTGCTTGTACCTGATGTGTAATAAAAAGATTACAGAAATCTGTTTTAAAGCAGTTTTTAAAAAAAGGATTTTTCTCACTCGCATTTCTTCAGCCTGGATGCCCCTCAAGACTCGGCAGCAGTCAGCCACCATCAGCGTCTTAAGTATGGCTTGCTTCATTCATAATATTTATTTATCTTACTCAGTTTTTTTTTCATCCCTCAAGCCTGTCGGGAACATGACACAGCCAATAAAACAGCTCTTCCTTTTCACCTCATTGCTTTTCAGCAAAAAGGGAGATTTACGACATGATCCCACAACTAATTATGGAACAACTCTTTAATGCACCGCATTGTTCCCATCTCATGCCATGAAAAGAGCTTGACACACTTGCAATTAGAATATGCTGGGGAAAGCCCAACCACAGCACTGAAGACGTGCCTGTTATGTGTTTTTGTAAAAGAGTTGACATTTGAACCTCTTGCTGAAGAGATAGTGACAGTGAGGCGGGGGGAATCAAAACACAACAGACACACCTAAAGGTAGAGACCTCCAACAGTACTCTGAAAAGATGGGTCTGTCCCTCTGTTTGCTGTAGGCTCCTCTATGTGTGCGCTGAGTGCTTTTCACCTCTTCTGTCTGACTGGCATCTTCATGGTCAAACCCATCTCAAAAGGTAACCTGAGCCCAAATACCACTCCCCTAGAAACTGTAAAAATAAAACATGGGGGTCTGAGTGGACATGTTGTCAGTCCGAGGGTAAGATTTTTATGAAGTGGAATCTCTCACCCAGCGCTGAATAAAAGCAACACACACACACAAACACACAAGGACAATGCGTCAGACAATGCTCAAGCACAAAGTGACAATTCACTTTCACTGAAAATGGGGTGGTGTCAGCCCATGAGATACATGAGTGTTTTCTGTGTCACGGTGCAAAAACACTTTCAGGTTAGGATGATCACATGCCAAAAAACATGCAACAACAAGACTGTCCATTTTCCATCAGGGCAAAAGAACAATACATACAGTGTGTGGCTGGGATTTTTGATGGCCGTAAAGCTGCAGACTCTGAAATGCAAAAGAGAGGAGGAGTATGTATGACACTCATTTCATTCATTACGCACATGTATTTTAGACTAGAGAGATGTTGGAACTGAGCTTTTTAAGTCAAAGACGTCAAGATGATGAGACATTAACAATGAACAAAGATTAGTCCTCCATTTGTTAAGATTTATGAGTCGCCTTGTTCTTCTTTCAAAGCATCATCCTGTTTCCAAATCTAGAGTATCCATTCTAATGATCTTTTTGATGGTTATACGGGTGTCAGATTAATTCAAGACTGTCCAGAGATACTAACGTTTGTCCCAGCGGAGTAAGCTCCTCTATGTTGTGTTTGTGTGATAAGACCTCAAAGAATCCTTCTTATCGCTCTGTTCAGCTCTGCCTGTTCACATCCACCTGCATGTGGCATAAGGCAGCATTAAAGAGATGAAAGCCTCAGGCATGTTTTACCCTGCGTGACCACATTCACCTCAGCAAAGACTGCGTTCTCTCTACAAATACTGCAACTGTTGAAAGCAAAGACCTGCTATGTTTGATGTTGGGTCAGACCGGGGTCTTCAAGCTGCATTTACATTTTGTTTCCTTTCTAATGGGGGCAGCAGAAGCAGCTGCAAATCTCCTCTTTAAGTTGATGTAACAAATGTATTAATGTATGTGTTTATGTATTACATAAACAGAACAACATTCATTTGGAGCTATATTTCTACCTGAGCAACATTCCCAATATTTTCTCCTTATTATCTTTGTTTTCAGTCTCAATCAGCTTCTGAGGGAGATAGCAGCTAGTAAATGCCTGTGTCTTCCTGCCATTTGGTCCTGGGCAGGTAGTGTACACTGGGTTTATCACAGCTTTACTGCTGGAAACCAGACTGATAAGACTGGCGAACCAAGGCAGAAAAAGTGTTGCCTGTACATAAAACAACAGAGCCGACATACAATAGGCTAAAACACAAACATGGACCAACATTAGCATTCATTTGCAGCCATGTTTCTTGACACCTGATGTCACTCAGTATCCAGGGTTTAGCGTGGCACATGTTTGATTTTCATCTCTAGTCATCATCTGTGTTTGACTGCCATTTGGGCTCATAGTGTACAGTGCATGTATCAGTTTTTTCTGAAACAGCTGCCTGCTGCAGCTAAAGACTAAGTTGGTAATAGAACCTCAGATGCTAAAACATTCCATAAACTTTAGAAGAACTGCAAAGTTCTGGTAGCCACTGTGGTTTTGTCACTGTGAGCAACTCCTTTTACATTATGCATTACAATTTCATCAGTGGTTAATATAAAATGTTGAGTAGTGCAGTTTTAGCTGTTTAAAGGCACTTAAAGCAACTTATACCTGCTGGTTGAGTCGCTGCATGTCTTCAGAAACGTCTTTTTTATCCTTTTTCTTACGAAAAATTTCTTCCAGCTGGTAAGATAATGATAAGTTACTATGCTGTGTGTAATATCAATGATCAAATTCATTTTACTTATTGTATACATCTTGGGCTCTTACCACCAAGAATTCCCTTTTGTCCACCATTTCATTTCCATCTGCATCAAACATGTTGAAGGCAATCCTGAATCCTGCATGGGGCTCTGAAAGACAGCAGCCTTTCAATCTATAAATAATTTTCAAGATAATTCTGCTTAAGAGAGTTTAAATAAATACGTACTTGTTAAAATGCAGAGCAGGAAGAGGTACTCGCTGTAACTGATGACACCTGGAAAAAAAGAGAGAGAAAAAGAGTCAAGCTGAGAAACAAAACCCACAATGTTCCCTTCTCCAGACAAGAAAGCATCAAATAGCATTAACCAGTTAGCTCGAGGTGTTTATAGGTGTTCAAAGTTGTGCAGCCAAGATGAATAAGCCATCCAAAGAAACAGTGCACGCCTTCAGACAACAGTAATCTTCTCACGCTCACTGATAACATCTTAAAGGGTGCATTTTTACTTCATGCTCAGTGTTCCTCTCACACAAACACAGGCTTTACAATGGAGCTGACCCATCTGGACACAAACCCAAACAAATTTAAGGCCTACAGCTTCTGATCATGTTTAGGTAACAAGGTGTAATACACTCTCAAGTGATCTGTCACTGATTGAGAATGGCTGATTCAGGTTTTGTGTGGCGTCCTTCAGGCTCCCTTTGTTGTGTGACATAGAGAAGGGAAGAATAAGTGTCAGGAAACATCTCAGCAAACTCAGGAGGCTTCTCCCTTCTAACTCTGAAAGCATTCTCAAGCTTTTGTTTGCTCAGGAAAATAGAGAATCAAGCGCAGATAGTTCTGGGTGACTGCTCTAGGTGTTATGGGAAAAGAATCCAGGTACAGGGTTTGCTGCAGGGAGATATTTCTAGAAAGGAGAAAGGGGGGCAAACTGGCAGACCAAGATGTAATTTTTATTCTCTTACATTTCCTCCAGAGGCTCCAAAGATGTTTCTACTGGAATGATGTCAACATATGTACAAACTGAGGTGTGAAAAGAGAATTAGTAATCCATGCCATTACACAAAGTTCATCTAAAAATTCCCCACAACAAAGTCCCACATCTTCTCATCCAGCTCTCAGTGTTTGGCAGGTACAACCCTATAATGACAACAGATCTCTAGCTTCAAAGCCTTTAAAGCTGAAATGGGTTGAAGAGAGAGGCAAAACTTTTAAGATTCCGGCTATGTCTCACCATTACCACACACCTCCACTCCTGGAGGGAGCCCCCCTCCTTTCTGCAGCTCAGCCTCTGAGCTCAAGTAGATGTTGTTAGACAATACAAAGAATTCCACAGAAACACTTCATACAGAGTGGCAGTCCCGGAGATGTAATCCAACGCCATTCTTAGGCTTCGTAATGTCCGTGGTGATCGGGGGTGGCCACTGGGACATGTCTCGACATAGCTGGGTTCAAACAGCTCCCTCATTCTCTAAAGCAATGCTTTGTTCGCACATCAATCCCGTCCTTTTTTCCCCTGACAAAGCTGTAGCATTTAACAGCAGGATTAAAAGCCCCAAATCCCAGCATTGGCACTTAACTAAAGCAACAGAGGAAAGAGCAGAAAAGTGAGATCTGATGCTCCTCTGGTGGGGAATGTGCAGGGCCAGGTGGGAAAATTATAAAGATTTTCACTCACACTGATGATTTCATTTTCTTCATGCAATGTTACGATGAACTGAGGTTTGAAGGCAAAGAGGGCAGAAACTTCACAGCTCGCATTAATATCAATCAGATTCTCTTTTTAAAAACACCCCTGAAAACTCTGCATATGCAGAGTGCAGTGCTCAAATGTGGTACCATTTGCAAAAAAGCTTGAGGCGTCTGTGTGTTGACTGTCAGGTAACATAGTGAGCAATAGTGGAGTCTTGAAGCTACATGATGTTGCTCCTCTTCCTAAAGGAATCAGAGTTTGTTTGTTTTTTAGCAACAGCATGGAAGACACACAGTATAGTGTGTCAGGCAAAAAGGTTTTGGACTGCAATGAACAACTACTGCTGTCATCAATGAATCTGACATCTTTCTATAATGATAGGGTATTTTTTTATCTACCAAATGTCAGAGATAATAATTCATCATACCAGAGCCCTAAGTGGTGCCTTTGAATTGTTCGATTTGCTCAGTCATTGCATCTTACTGGATCTGTTAGGTCTCAAGCATGGGGTGGACTCATATTGCAGACTCTGGCCAAGGAATAGTTCTTATAACTTTAATATAAAAAAGGAACAAAAGACCAAGGAAGGAAACTAAACCTGACAAAGACATACAAAAAAAAACCCCACAATCAAACAGTTCAGTCAGCGAGCTACGTCAAAGAACTCAAAACCACAAAACCCAAACAAACAGACCAAAGGTAACTTAGGCAAAAACACAAAACAGGTAGAGAAACGAGGAGGTTATATGGGCTGAAGACGAGGGGCTAATGAGCAACAGGTGAAAACAATGAGGTGATTGTGCACAGGGGTAAGGCTGGAGTAGGTGAGGTGATGCAATAAACAGGAAATCAAACCAAAATAACAGCACAAACCAGGAAGCGAGTCCAAACCATAACAGGATTACAACAGTCATCATTATTTCTCATAACTATCACAAAACAACCACAAGTCCTCACAACTGAGCATTTGGAAAGAGGAAATATTTTGCAATAATGCTCATAGTTGCTAGTTAATTCTCTATGATCTGATTGTTTTAACTCTAAAAACCTTTATTGTTCATGGTGTAATGCACATAAGTACAAACTGGGAAAAGAAGATAAAATGCATATTATCCTTCATAGAAGCGTGTTCTCCTGTGGCAATTTATGATACAAAACTATGTAAAACTTTACTCAAGTCTAATTAGCATTATTTGAGCATTTAAATCAGTCCTTAATTTAAAGCTCCAAGAGTAAATAATAATGCCTAAAGTCCAGGAATTCTTCTGGAAATATTTGGATATAATTATAGGGAACACAGCAAAATATGCAAAAAACTCAGATTTGTACACAAGGACAATAAAATTTCAATAAATAAATGGGTAATAATTCATCAGTTATTTACTTGGGTTTAAAAGGAAATTCCTACTTCCTCTATAATTAGTACCAAATGATATAATTCTTTCTAAGAAACATAATATTGCATTGTTATTGCAGAGGAAGAAGGAAGGACAATTGTGTACATTGTCACTGGACCGTTCCCTCCTGCAATGGTTACCACAGAATAAATTGAGAACATGTTACTAGACTGATGGAGAGATAAGATTTACAGCCTTTACAGCACACACTTTCTGCTCGGGACTATATGAGGCTGGCGTGCACACAAGAGCACACTGTGAACCAGACCTGGAGGCCTGTTATATGACAGCTTAAAAAAAAACTAAAAGCATAAAGTGGAATTACTAATATTCAAGGGATTTATGTCTACAGCTCTCACACATCAAGTGGGCTCTTTACCTCGTTCATGAAGATTTCTAAACAAATTAGATGATCCTTTCCAAACAGGTGGGGTGTCAGCCAGCATCTTGTCTAACTCCTGAGAGAATAAAGGGAAATCCCAAATCACTCATTCAATTCTAAATCCTGGGTATTCACCATGTATTGTAATGTTTGTTGGCATTACAGTAATTACAGAGGTTTTACTTAGAAAAAAAGGGAAAGCGAGAGCCTCCCCAAGACCAGCAGGAGTGAAGACATGAGTAATAACTCGCCTTTTTTGTGAGTGACTTCCGTACTCTGCTGCCTAAAAAATAAGGTTAATAGTTAGCGACTGATATTTTTGTGGCTTTCAATAACAATTTACACATCTGGGATACAGAACTGGGAAACAAAAGTGAAAACAGGCGTTTATGTGGACAGCAACATAAACCGTGTATCTGCATGAACACATTCCGCTGGTCAATAAAACAGAAGATAAGAGGGATGCGTCGTAAAAACACCTGGCTGGGAAATGGCAGCGATAACAATGACAACAGCCCTCCACTGATACATTTTAGAGCCTGTGTCTGAAGCTGGGATTATGACTGTCTTGTGATGGCTCGTTCTGCCCCAAAGTGATGAAGATAGGAAGCTTGTCCTCAACACAAGCAGCATGTATTCAATGCTTTCAATGAATATTTCATAACCTACAAATCGTATGGATCTCATATGAATAATTTACATGACTGCACTTTAAGGTTCGACTGGTTTACTGCTAAATGGCCATAATTCCACCAGCCTCTGCTCCATGTACCGTGTGAAACTGAACCAGCAGTGTTGCATTGTATTGATGCCCAAGGCCTTCCTGAACATCCAATGGAGTGACTCTTTACAGCCATAATATAACCAGAGAGCACCACGATTACTATTTTGCAGCACATTAGCAACCAGAGAATAAAGGTGTGTTGTTACATTAATGCTTCTTGTTTACATTACTTATTATATGACCAGCGAAACCGTGTCCAAAACACTACAGAGGGCCACACACCTTAGCTACTAATAAATCACAGCAATCCTAACGTCTTATCATCACATTTATGACATCCATGCTAAGTTGTTTGGTCTCTCTGCGCGTTTGTTGCCACATAAATGGGCCATAAAAGTGGGTTGCTGGTAAAGATATCAATCTTTATGCAGGTGTTATGACTGAAGCACTTCAAGCTGCAACCTATTGTTGCATAGGCCCTTCATAGGCCCTCAGCAACAAATGAGTGTTCCAGGAAACAATGCTGGGGCTCTTTTTTTCAGCCCTTAGTAATTGTAGGAAGAAGGAGCATAGATTTATCTGGTGACTTGTCAGAAGTGTAATTAAGTAAATGCTGAAAAATGTCACTGATTCTCCATAGAGCTGCAAAGACTGTGGCATCTTCAGTGCAGCACACTGGTCTATAAGTCCTTCAGCTTCTCTTACAAAATGCCTAACAGCAAAAGACTGCTAAAAGATAAACACTAAAAGAAAATCAGAGCCTTTAAATTAAATGACAGCCAACTACAGTCTTCAGAAACTGTGTCCTTTGCCTTTTAGACATTCTGAATTAGCCTAGTTCAAACAGACCATCTTACAAACTGAGGTCAACCAACTGAACTAATGTAGTTGCTCTGCACAGCAAACATCTGTTCTCTGGGAGAGTGCTATAGGGGTAGACGTGGCCTTACATACAGTAGCATCAGTACACCGGTTACAACCTAAGTCCAGGGATCAGCAGGTTTCCTAGAAACAGTATTCATATAGGCACACTAGAATCAATACAATGAAGGCCAGAAAATGGAAAATAATACCCATGCTATTTGTGCTGTTTAACCTTGTGCTTCCCAGTTCTCCCAAACAGTTCTCTGTCTTCCAAACACTCCACACACATTCAGTCCCTACACACACACACACTTCATACACACACACATAGCTTGTTACCTACACAGCCCAAATATCTGACCCACTGACTGTGTGACCTCTTGATCAGGATATTGGTATTGTGCTTATATGACTGTCTGATTGCTTAATAGACCACACAAAAGACAACATGGGAGTGTCTTCATTGGTTTCCATAACAGCTACAGGTAAAACTTTCATTATCGATGAATCTGTAGATTATTTTCTTAATTAACAGATTAATAATTTGTTCTTTAAAACTGACAAAAAAGCAGAAGAATTGCCATAATGATTGGTTTCAAGCTGCTTGTGTCAGATCAACAGTCTGAAACTCAAAGAAATTAGCAAATCCTCACAATTTAGAAGCTAGAAACAGAGATCATTTTTGATCAATAAGTTATTGATCAGTTGACTAACTGTCCTTGAAATTTTGATAACATTATAGTCTGCCCAGTTGTCATGGTAATATAGATGTTCAAATTTTCATTCCCCTTTCATTAATTTCTTCTGCCCTTTAAGGACTTCTCCCCCATGTTGGTGTAGAGGTTGAACTTAAAATGTTTTCTCCACCTACTGAGGAAGAGGAAGCTCTAAAACAACTACTAGACCATGGCATGTGATGATTCTTTCTTGCTCTCTTGCTTCAAGCAACGTTTAGTACTGTGGGGATGAGCAGTGTAACAACAGTGCACTCACTTCTGGGTTCATTCAGAGTGACAGACTCGATGAAGTTGAGTGGAGTCATGTAGAGCTGGCCCTCGTACTCCACTGAACTGAACAGGTGAAATCTGTTCTCATAGGATGACATGTACACATCTCCATCATCCAGACCATAGGTCCTCACCTGTAAACACACACACACACACACACACCACCATCAACAGCGATAATACTGCCTGAAATCCGTGGAAGCTTTTCTTGTCACTCACATGGAGCAACAAAGAGGCCCATGCTTTAATTCAGTGATGGGGCTCGTGTTATGTCAGCCTTATTTTTCATCCCTGTACACCAGATAATGTGCCTACAACTGCTCAAGCCCAGCCAGATCAGAGGGCTGGACTGGTGAAGACAGAGTGGATCTCTCTGTCAGGTGGCACAGAGCCAGGTCCACTGGGCACAGAGCAAACACCCGGGGAATGTGTGCCCCCCTCTGCTTAACCATTAAACCCCCTCTACCCACCACCTCTCATCAAATGTCAGCCCTTCTGCCTAGCCCCAGTGTCCAGTTTCCTGTGTCCCTGGATTACTGCTGCATGTGATCACCAGTCAAGTTTAGCTTCTGCCTACTATCAGACAAGGAATCTTCTGTATCTAGAGGTGTGCACGCCACACTTGATTCACAGGTGTGTTATGTGCACTAATAGAGCCAAATACACATTGTACAGGAGGTGACTGAAATAACTTGAACATTTGTGCAGCAAAAAACCCTGTTGATCTAATAATTGGTGCCGGAATGATTAGCAAATTAAGCGATTAGTTCATACTCATAAACAATTCTTAGCATAACTGATTAATCAGAAATACACCAATGTTTCCTGGTTTCCAGGGCAGCAACTAATACTTTTTTATTAGGTATGATCGGTCTGTTTTTTTAATTATTATTCTCTTGGTTTATTTGAAAAGTACATCTCTTATGTTGCTAAACTCTCAGGAGAAGTTTTCAAAAGTTTTCTTCTTATTCTCTGCATGACGGCCACACGCTGAAACACATTGGTCTCACAATGAAATTACACTTTATTCTACAAGAGTTGCTGAAATTTTGACATACTGTATTAACGCTGCACTTTAGAAGCTGGTAACACTGTGCCAGAAATTCCTGCTTTGGGAAAAATAGTTTAACGACTGATGGTTTCAGCTGTAAAACAAGCATCACTGTGAGAATGTGCTTTGGGTTTGGGACAATCCAGCACTGTAATCTCTAAACATCAAACTGTAATAAACTGTGATGGCTGTATTGGCCACAAGTTTCTCACTTTTTTATATGCTAAAGAATTAATGATTTGTTTGATTAAATGATCATTGGATTGACCAACATAAAAATAATCATTACTTCTAGCCTTGTTTATAATTATCAATTTAAAGATTTAGGGATTCAACCCCGGAAATATTTATATCCATTTCGTTCATCTCCGAAGTGATATGAAATGGTCACAATAAGAAGAACAATCCAAAATCAACACCACCACAAAATATGACCGTTAATTATTACCATCAATTTGAGTCTCTGTGATATAGTAACGACAAGAATTCACGCTAAAAGCTTCTACAATTCATTGTAGGGTTTATGTATCACAAAACATAATACAGTCAGATTTTCCCGCCCCTAAGTAATATAGATATTGTATCATACAGCCTATATATTTTCCATTTCGATAAATATTCTGCGATATATGAGCTACACGGAAAAAGCAGGCAAAGCCTCCTGTTATGGCAGCGATCGGGTCACGTGGTCTGAGACGCCTTTGACCGTTTTGCCATTTCAGCACCAAAGGTCTCGGACAGCTCCTGACGGTTACGACACCTTATCACGATTGTAGCTCCACGTGCACGAAATGATGCATGTCGGGGTAATTAATGGCAATGCAGATGCTTTGGTCGTTCCTGCTGCGCTCTGGTAGGAAAAACGGAAACTGAAATTCAAGCCATTTTCACGACTGTGTGTGTTTTCGTCAGACTGAGTGTGAGCTGAATGTTGTCACTAAAGCCCCGCTGCCTGGCTGCTGTCCCACTGTACCTTATCTGTGGCCAGAACCGATGGTAACGCCAGATGCATGAGTCGAGCCTCGACATGGCTCCTCATTCTGGAGCGCCTACCGACAAACGGGAAATAATAGGCAGCACCGACCGCGACGGTGACGCAGCCTCCAGCTGCAATAACTTTCAGCGCTGTAGCCGCGTTTGAGGGTTTGTGTCGTTTCCCCGCTGCAAACGTCCCTGTTCTGGAGCTGTTAGTGAATGAGGAGACGAGCCTGCGCAGGGCGGCCATGGCTGTTTACACTGAGGCGTGTAATCGATAACGCACGGCAGAGAGCAGGGCTGCTGCTCCGAGCTCGCGAGATAGTTCAAGTCGCCCTGGGATTAAAGGGCTTCACATTCTGGAGAGTGAAGAAAATGTTGAAATCTTTGGCAAAACATAGAAACAGACACGGAATTCTTCACCATATTTTGTGGGTGAGCTCTAAGAGTCATATCCTTATTTTATGTTTACATGTATAATTTGATTTCTAGTGTTATTTAGCCTAATTTAAGACCCCAGCTCAACTCTCCCTCACTCCGTCTCTCTTATTTTATGCCTCGGGAGAATGGGGAAAACATCCTTGCCAGGGCACGTCTGAACTGTGACAGCCCCGCCCATTACTAGTCCTGTGGTTTTGCACCTGCCTCACCACCCCTGCCACTTTGAGCGCAAAACCTCCAGGAGCTCCTTTACCTGCACTGTAGCGTTTATTCAGCTCTTACTTCTGAATCCTTTTCTGTACTCTTAGGCGGCTCCACTTAGGCATCACCATCCGGTATGAACAGGTATGCAACATGAGGGCTATCTGAGCAGCAGCTGCAGCGCACCTTCTGCTGATGAAGAGCGGAGATTTGGTGTATTTCATGTCAAGGGAGAGAAATCTGCGCGTCCGCGTGTCCTTGCACCACGGGGACATGTGCTAAGTAACGGAGAGGCTGGTTGTAAACATGCAGTAAGTGACGGTGCGATCAGGTAGCCTGCGACGCAAGAGCGCTCCCTCACTGAACTTTACCCGCTGAGCTTTGACGCGATGGCTGCTGCTCCTGCTCTAGGGGAACTTGGAGGCGTCTTGCACGGACTCGATGGTGTCGCACATGTCGGGTCACATTTCCTCCTGAACCCCTTTGGGGACAGTCCGACGCTGCTGGGGGAGCACCTCATACCTGGGGACAGGCTCTCCCGGAGCACAGCGGCGGATTTAACGCACCTCAAAGGGATCCTCAGGAGGAGACAGTTGTACTGCAGAACTGGATTTCATCTGGAAATACTTCCGGATGGCACAGTGCAAGGGACGAGGAAAGACCACAGTCGTTTTGGTAAATACTGAGACAATTTTTATAGATGTTGGTAGCCAGAATATATAAACCAATTTAAAGTTCACTTTACATAATCACCACAGTAATCACTGGCAAGAACAAGAATAAAAAAAGGCGAGCTAAGCAATGTTATGTCCTAATTCTGCTTATTGTTGTGAAGTCTAACAGTTAGTAATATGCCAACAGTGACAGAGTAGAATTTCTGAGATCTTTTAATATCATTCCTTTATCTTTCTTGAATCCTGCTCAGAACACCTGTGTTATTCTTCTTCAGGTATTTTGGAATTCATAAGTCTTGCTGTTGGGTTGATAAGCATTAGAGGAGTGGACAGTGGACTCTATCTGGGGATGAACGACAAAGGAGAGCTGTATGGCTCTGTAAGTATTACTGTTGCCTGCTCACTTTGCCCAAGTTCTTACTGTAGATTATTTGATAACCATCATGGACCTTTATATAATATCCACACAGTTGGAGAATCTAATTTTCAGGAAGATAAATTAAGAGAAATAATGGCTAAGATAGAATTTCTTTGTTTCCAGGAGAAGCTCACAGCTGAATGTGTCTTCAGGGAGCAGTTTGAGGAGAACTGGTACAACACATACTCCTCCAACCTGTACAAGCACGGAGACAAAGGGACGCGTTATTTTGTGGCATTAAATAAAGATGGGACGCCAAGGGATGGAACTAAATCCAGGCGACACCAGAAATTTACACACTTCTTGCCCAGGCCTGTGGACCCTGACCGTGTGCCAGAGCTGTACAGGGATATCCTGGGACACAGCTGAGACCTGGAAGCCCAGTCCAGATCAGGAATAGCTGCTAAAGCCCTGGCAGCCAGGGAGCAGAGAAGAGAAAGAGGGACGTAGGCAGGGATGTTGCCGTTGCAGGCTGGTGGACAGCAGCCCAACCAGCAGGGGTAAAGGCACCGGGGCCTCTTGTAGGAATGCACGGGCCATCTCTCAGCAGCCAGGAAGACAGGCTAGAATGTCTGTACTCTTGGCATGAGGGGGTCGTTTGTTTCAGAGGCCAGACGACCCTAAAAAGTAGCCGTGTGGATTAGGAGATGAATGGGAAAGAGCTGAATGATCAGCGAGCATTTCCTCTGTGGTCTGTCGGACTGAGACGTCAGGTGACGAGGAGTCAGTAGGAACCTGTAGTGTCGCAAGTTGGTACTTTTATTTGGGTGCATTGTCAGAGAGCAGTAGTTTTTTCAGAAGGACTTTGAAGGAATTCTGTTTCTGTTTCTTACCTGTGTGTAGACCTGTTTGAAAAGAGCAAAGTGTAACATTTTATTTATTCATTTTAGAGGCATATATTTATGTTATATATTTATTTATTTGAGAATATATTTCTACACTTAGATACATGTAATATAGAAAAACCACTAGAAACTGTATCGATTATATAAAGGCTGAGACACTGTACCATTATGACATTTATTCTGAAAGAAGCAAAGCCAGTGCTAGACTGTAACATGATCAAACATATGAAATACATTAGCAAAAGCAACCCCACATCTGAAATGCATTTTATATCAACAAGGCAACTGTGAATCAATTGTTTTTTACTTCGTCTTCTTGACATGGTAATTATAACCGACCTACTGTTACATGTGTTATGACCATAATCAGAAGTCAGTAGACTGACAATGCAAATAATAAATTGCTCACAATATGATCAACATGCATCTTCCTTCAGCCTGTATGATTGGATATGAAGGTATTTTGTTTGCTGCACACTAAATGTCTGCTCACGACCACTGTCCCTTTAAAAACACCCACATTTTTACTTTTGTTTGCCTTCGAGTTTCAGAGTTTAAACATATAAACCTGCTTATGAGATTGATGTTGCCCTTCTTTATGGACACCATTATGCCAAGGGACAAGTCGTAGACCTGATTCACACATAAAACTTCAAAGCTTCCCTCCTGAAAGCTGTCACTGTAGAGGTCGCACAGCAACACGATCGGGGTCAAATAAAGTCTGACCTTTATCTCAGGCCTTGCAACTTTAGCAGATGTATAAAACTGGAGGTCAGAGCCATAAGTGTTAAGTAACCTCTGCTGACAGTTTGATGATCATAAACTTGTTAAATAATGGAAGTGAAGGTGACCAAGACATCTTTAAGTAAGTTTTTTTTTTTTTTGTTAAGGATCTCATTATGTCTCGTCTTTTTCAAAAACAGAAGAACTAACCAAAATGTGTTACAGTATGATTTTGGAGCTGAAAAATGTGAACAAAGCTGAATTTTGTGATTTGTTTTTCTCCATGGTTAGGAGCAGATGTATGTTGAAGCATGAAAGCTCAGCCTGTGATCTCAGCGCATGTGTTATGGTGAGCCAGTGGGGGTGTCTCGATGTGGCGAGTCAACTCTCTCCCGTCTACGGCGCCATAGTGTGGGACTTTCCCACCTGTCGATTAATGATAGAATCCCACAGTGCACCTGAACATCCACTGTCCACCCGGTGAACACAGAATGAAAAACTGGTGCATGTTTTTGAAAAGATACAGTCGCTGCTTATCTTTCTTTAGCTTCTTAGGAAGTTAACAAGCGTGAAAATCATGGACGGGTGCGCTTCACTCCTGTTCTGTCCCATTTTTCCAAAATTGTTTGTCTATGATGTTGAACTGCAGCAATACCTCTAACAAGACTAAAGTTTCATTGCAGGGCTGGTCGCCATTGCCACTGCAGTCATGAAAAGCAGACTTTGTGCATATCTAACAGCGAAACCCTCTCCAATAGCAACCCCCCCCCCGACATTTTGAAGGTCATCTCTTTTAACATGCTGGAAATCCTGTCTTGTGATACCTGATGCCCTGAAGTGCTCTTTGGCACTTGTTAAACTGATGTTTTTGGAGACTAGCTGGCCCTGAGACTTTTGTTCCACCTCCTCCTCCTCCTCCTCCTCCAGGTGGTCTGTGCCTCCTCACTGAAAACACTTAAACCCCTCATCCGCACCCACTCTGGAGGGCCGTCTCCCACGCTTAATGGATGCTCCCTGACTTTCATCACCTTCTCAGCAATGGCCTTACTGGGCTCTTGAGGAAACCCAATCAAGTGTGTGTGTATGGGTATGGCATGGGTCCATGGGCAGGTGTGGAAGTCAGTGATTTTCCCAGTCCCGTCAGACAGCGCAGGTGTTCCCTCAGCACTCTGATCTCAGGCCTGCTGTTGTCAGCTGGGGATATGACTGAACAGCAGCCACAGGAGGAGGGTGAAAATATAGCTGGCTTTGTTGTCTGCCCCCAATTATCAGAGAGCATAATTTCTATATTTAGAAGGGTGCGTTGGGGAAGACAGGGGAGGTGCCATGAAGCTCACCTGTTGCTCTAAAGACGTGGCCACTTCTAAGAGTGTGTTTGTGCAGGGATGGTGTCTGCAGATTGTGTCATTTGAATCCTGCAACTATTGATTTCAGGCTCTTTGTTGTTTGCTTATTCCTTAGTAAATTGCCGTGCGCACAAATTATGAGCTGCATGTGTGTTTATAGGGATTACAGCAGAAGTGTAAGTCTAGCATTATCCACTTGATACTTTTGGGCTTTCATCCGAGTTCAGCGAGAGAAGCATTCTGGAAGGTCTGTAGCCACTGGTTCCAAATATCACCTATTCATCCATCATTCATGTTTTGTGGCCTGATAAAAAAATCATCTTTCACACTTGCTGCATTGTACTCTATTTGACTTCAATCTTTTTAAGTGTCATAGCGAAGAACATTTCGTGGTCTGCTTTCTGCAAGCGGCAATTAGACCAGCATACCTGATTTGCTGACACTCTACATGGCAAGCTGTCAGCTCCAGTGGAAAATATGCTCCTCTGTTTGCATCTCCATGGAGACATTAGGAGAAAACAACAGTGTTTAGGTATTGTGGAGAAGAAAAAGAAGGAGGAAGATTTGGGACACTGTCATGTCTGCAGTTTAGCTCCCACTTCTAACAAGTGAACCGGGCCCTGCCAGTGACTGGCAGTGTTTAGGTTGGCCAAAGAGATTCACACTGTTGTGCCTGGAGGAGGCTGTGCAGACGAATCTGTGCTGGTAGTCTTTTTATCTCCTGACAGTTAACGGGATTTTGGTAAACGTGATTAGAAGAACTCATTTAATTCATTCATGAGGGGCAATGAGGGGACAGCATTCTCATTTACTGCACTCAAATGCAGTTTTATAATAGTTGTATTTTAGTGTTTCATTTTTCTGCAACTTTATATTCACCCAATAAGTAAATGTTGTCCTTTTAATTCACTACATTTATGACAACTACTGTAGAATTAGTTTGTTTAAAACATTTGGTACTCTACTACACATAACTATTATCATCTTATAAAATAATAACATATTGAACAGCCCCAACATTAAAGTGCTGCTTGCATATTTAGGAAATAGTCTGAAATTATCTGGTTCCTTTCTTCCCACCCAGCCTCTCACATCTGCTGACCAAGCCGATGTGTGAGTAGCCGTGTCACCCCATCCTCTGGCCTATGTGTCCACATTACAAAGTCACAAATTAGGTCTTGACATTTGGGCCCTATAATTGCCCCGTGAAAAGCATGAGGCATCAATTAGGCTCTCAGCACCGTGACAGGTTATCCCTACAAGACATAATCGCCCTGCTGGACTGCCCCGTCAGGGACTTTTGACACTGTGAATGTTGGACAGAAATCTAGACAAGACATGCCGTAGAATTTACCAGTCATTATAAATTGTAAACATAGTTTGGCATTCTTCTTATTAAATGAAACAATCATTTGGGAATGACAGTAATATGTGGAGGTGTGGTAGTAGGTCTCAGAGTGCCGCTACACTAATAACAGCATCGATCCCTTTGATTTCCCGACTCCAGCGCTGCCTGACAGTTTGTGCTCCCACAGGCCGTGGGGATCTTTAGGGTCAAAAAAAAGGTCAGATGGTTCATTTTCATAGCATCCACTCTAAACATTCTTCTAGGTTTTGGAAGCAATTCAATCAGCAATGAAAACATTGGTTAGCAGCATGGAATTACCAGCTGTCATTAAAGATGCAGAGCACTCAAAGACAAGATGGATGTATCCCACAGAGAAATACAACGCAAACTACATGGACCTCATGCAAGCTTTGCACATACAAGGTTGCTGTTTTTCAGTGCTGCAAAATATTAAGCAAAATGAAAACATTGTGCATAATAAATAAAAACCTTTGAACATTATGCACATACCATATGAGAGATGAAGATTTGCATTTGGGGAGATGAGGTTTACTTCTATATTAGCATTTTATATATTAGCTTTATCAAAGACAGACTTACACAATAATTTAAGCAGAAAACCAGGGAAAAAAGCCAAAACCAATGGAAACTGAGAAATGTACAATGAATATCACACCAGATAATAATTTTAATTTGTTAAATTGGAATATAGGTGATAAGAAAGATGAGCAAAACAAGCACATGAAACAAACCATCAACATGAAAGCACAGCTGTGGACGCAAAGTCAAAGCACTTTTTAGACAAAATCCTCAAACAGGGTTTAAATTTATCATAAACAATGGCAGAAATAAATGCTCACAGATTAACCATTATAATAAAAGCTCAATCTAAATGAGAGTCAGTGGCACAAAAAGGGAAAAAAAATTCTTTACATTAAATTTAAAAACTCCTCTAAACCCAGGAGTAATCCTAAAACTGATGCAAGAAAAACAAGTTTTCTTTTTCTCTTCATCAACAGATGACCTCACTGTGTCAGACTTTCACTAAAGTATGTTTGTCTTGATCATACCCAGTGCTATTGTCTGTTTTGAGCATAAGAGCTGCAAACACCAAAGATAAAGAGTCCAGCTATGTGTGACGCTCACTGCCTGGTTAGAGAGCTTGCTAGAGGGAGACTGTACTCTCTCACTGCCTACCGGTGAAAGTGGAAATGTGCTTTGTTGCCCCTCAGTCAGGCAGAAAATTGCAAACCCATTTGTCATTGTGTGCCAAGATGCAGAGGTCAGTCAATGGAGTCCTTCATGACAAGCTTACGGAATTGAATGTTTTTCCACGGCCTCACCCTTTTCGCACCTGCACCTCCAGGTAAAATAACAAAACAAGAGAAGAAAGAGAGAAAAGAGGGCTTAGAGTGAGCGACTTAAAGACAGGGGAGGAGAAAAATGATACGCGAGAAGAATTCACCGTGAAACTCTGCACGTCTATTGGCCATTTCAGCTCATTTGAACCCAATATACATTTAGCTCACAGTGGCAGATGAAATGCCAGGTTTTGGCCCACAACCAAGCCCGTAGAATACCGCTAATTATTCTTGCATGTGACCACAGAACATACTTACAGCCTCGGCGAGATGTTGTTTGTTATTCTCTGGGTCAAACCAGCAACTGCATGATTTGAGGTAAGAACAGAAACACTTAAAACATTTGCACTGCTTGATTGCTTAATCCCTCTGTGGTGTTTCCCACCACCGATGCACAGCGAACATCACAGACAGATACCAGAACTGAATTAGTGCTAACTCATTTCAGTAGTTTGCCTCAAAGTTTCAAAGTTTAGCAGCAGAAAATGTTGAAGCGGTGTTTGCCGAAAATCAGTGGAGCTCAATATTCAAGGCAAATAAACTTAATTGTTTTTCGTTTTTAAAGCATCTTAGTTTAAGACTAGGCTGAAGTCACACTTCTTTTTTGTCA